CTATGTGCGACAAGGCTTTTGCAGGTGGTGGTGGACACAACAACATAAGATGGTGATACAATGCGCTGCTACTAGGCGATGGTGTATGGTGAAAGTGGCTATTGCCGATAGCACAAGGGGCAATGGTGCTATATTTCCAGATTGGGCAGAAGCAAGCCACCAGGTGATCATCGGTGTTGGGTCACTTGACGACCGTCGTCGGTGTTGAGTCACCTAGCGACCGCGCAGTATCAACAGCGGAGGGAATCCGTGGAGAAATGGTGCTTGTTGGATGGTGGACGGCGATAGCACTAGGTGACAGCGTACGCTAGCCATCGCCAGACCAGTGAAGGATGCCGCAGAAAGGAGTCATGACGGACAGACGACGGTCGCCTCAGCATCACGAGAAGGAATCGTAGTGGAAAAGGGAAGCATCGCACCTTGGCGATGTTCTCTAAGGTAATAACTACAGGCGCTATAGATGGCGTGTAGGCCATGCACCGCAACGACAATAGTCCCTGCGTGTAGCCACCATGGCGATAGCTCCACAGCAGAACGACGGTGCTGCTCCTCGGTGAGCGCACGACCACACTGCAGTAAAGAGGTTGCGTGAGGATAGGGCTTCATTTTGACCAAGATCACCTATTTTGATAACTATTTTATTTTGACTAAATTTTGACCTCGGTCACAATTGACCAAACTTTGATTAGTTTAAATTTGATTGGATTTTGATTTCGATCATTTTTTTTCTTTTTGACTTGATCTGAATTTTGATTAGTTTAAATTTGATTTGATCTGAATTTTGATTAGTTTAAATTTGATTTGATCTGAATTTTGATTATTTAATTAAATTTAGAATGATCAATCAAGTTTCGATCCAATTTGAAGAAAGTTAAATTTTGATCGATTTTAATTTTTACGGGCCTAATTGAACAAATGATTGGTCCAGATCTATTAGTCCAATTTGGATAGCTCAATTCTAAACCTACCCAATTTAATTATTATTCTTAGATATTTATTTGGACAAGTAATTAATACTTTTAGGTGTACATAAAGCCAAGAGATAATTAGATAGAAATATTAAAATTATCAAATCTAATGAGGGTGATAAATTTTTTTATAATAGATATGATAAGCCTGATCATAATTTTGGTTTTTTTGCTATATTCCTAGAATAGTAAGGTATTTATACTCAATATATTTTACTAGATGTGCTATAGCAGAATGATATTGCTAAAAGGTAAAATCTTATTATTATAAGAGCTTGATAAATTATTACTTTGTATTTGAATCAATGTGAGGAGAAGTTCTAAGGACGATTATATATATCTTGAATATAATTCCTAATAAGTTAACTACATCAACTCCTTTTGAGTTATTGATTAATAGAAAACTTAATTTAAGATATTTATATATTTATGATTGTTCTTCAAAGATAATAGTCTTCAATTCACAAATTAGATTCAAAGATTATTTCTAGATATTTTATTTATTATTTTAAAAAAAATTTAATGGGGTATAGATTTTATTACTCTAATCATAGTACAAGGATAACTGAATATGTTACTATAGGATTCCTAAAAAAAGGTAAATCAGTGGGAGCGAAACTCTTAAAATTTAATCTTGATATTAAGGAGATATATGTTAATACTCTTTTATCATTTTTTATTCGAGAGATTGTTGTTCATCAAATCACTGAATAGTTTAATAAAAACGAATAACAAAAAAATATAAACTCACACATAATATTGATATTACTACTTATGAGCTTGTAGAATAAATCATAATCGATAATTTTGAGAATATTTTAAAGAAAAATAAGATTATCATTTTTGTTGATTATTTATATCTATAAGAATTATATTCTGACATAGAAATTAAAAGAATTTCTCATTGTTTTCATATGTTATGAAAACTAATAATTCTAAAAAGTAATACGATGTAAAAAAAAGTTAAAAATTTGGGAATAAGGATTTCTCATTGTTTTCATATGTTTGAGAACTTGTCGAATTACCCAATAATTATAAAAGAATAATTTGTTACATAAACATGATTCAAAGGATAATATCAAACAATATAACAATGGTCAAAGATTTTACTCATAAAGAACACATCAATCTTAAAAGGATTTTTATTTATTTTTTAAATAAACTTACTAAAAATCATCATGACATTATAATTATTATAATTTTGAGTTACATCATATATATGTAAAAATAGGTTTTTCGAATAAGGAACTAGATTTATATTAAACAATTCAAAGGGAAAATAAAAGAAATAGAAAATTTGGTGTCCAAATTTAAGAAATCCATTTATAAACTTAATATCATTACTTTCTTCATTATTTGGTGATAAATTAAGAAAAATACTGTTGATCAGTATTTATATCTAAATATGGATTACTGATCAGTGAGAGCAATGATCATAGTTTATTATACTGAATAAAAAAAGTTCTCACCAATAATTTTAAAATAGTTGATATGAATGAGGTATCTTATATTATTAGTATTGAAATATTTAGGGATAAATCTCAAGGATTATTAGGACTATCTCAGTAACGATATATTGATCGAGTCTTAGCGAGACTAGCTTTGTTTAGCAAACGATGAAAGTAAAACAATTTAGTTAAAATAAGTGTTTTTAAAATATTTTAGAAAGGAATCAAATTAGAAAAATATTATATATATATATATATGCCAGTTAGAAGTCTATTATATACTCAAGTCTATACTAGATCAGATATTAGTTTTGTAATTAAAATACTAGGTATATATTAGAGTTATATAGGAATGAAAATACTAAGAAACTACAAAGGAAATAATATTTGGAATGGACAAAGGATTATATGCTCATATATATGAAATATTATTTATGTATATATAGTTGGAAGTTTATTATATGCTTAAGCATATACTAAATTAGATTTCAATTTTGTAGTTGAAATACTAGGTAAATATTAACAATGAAAACACTAAAAGACTTTTAAAAAAGTAATAAAATATCTGAAATAAATGAAGGATTATATGCTCACATATACAAAATTAGATCAGGTTGAAATGATGGTATTTTCATATGCTAATTTTGTAAATTACATTGATAACATAAAGTCCACTTTACAATTTATATTTATATCAATTAGATAGATAATTTATATAAATAAAATAAAAATAATATATTATTATATTATTAACAATAGAAGTTGATTTTATAATATGCTTTGATGCCATTAATCAAGTTTCATGACTATTGAAATTTTATCTCAAGACTTATATATGATCAGATTCAATTGTCAAATCGCTGAAGATACTTTGTGACATATCAGAGTAGTTTTCTTCTCTAGGAATGATAAGTAATATAGTAGTTCTATGCATTATAGTGTAAAGTACTTGATAGTTAAAGTTCAGAAACAATTAATGTTAATTAAATATTCGAGTTCTACTATATTGATCACTGATCCATTCACTTCGGGCTTATAGCTTAGAGTGTTTGAAAGAGTATATTTATATGATCGAGTTTTTAAATAACCCATAAAAGATAGATAATACTGAGTAGATATTATAATTAATATTCTTACTTATATAATTAAAATTATTTAATTTTGTTATCTTGCTCACATTTATATATGTGTATATTATGATTGAATGTGAATAATAATATTATCTTGACAAAACATTATATGGGTCATTTTGGACTTTATTAGGAAAGATCAACAATATTGTAGTACATAGAAGAAAGTATGACATTGATGATATACAATCATTATAACTCGTAATGCTAGTAAGATTTAATGTAGTATTATTATATTTATTAAACTTATTGACCTATTTTTTTAAAAAAATTTGCACGTGTACAAATGATTTTTAAAATTTCATAATCTAATTGGGTAAAATTATTTTTAAATAAATTTTATTATATTTATTTTAATTTTAAACCCTTTTATATCTTTTTAATTAACGAGTCAATTGAGAAAATATTAGATTATACGATCCTATTTAATTAGGTAAGATATATTATAGATCTGATTGGATTTTAATTATTATTATCGATTAATATAAAAAAGTTTAATTATGATTGAATTTTTTAGGAGATGACCTTGATGGGAATGACTATCTAATTACTTATCTTAAAACCTCCATAAAAGGACAGGACCTTCTAAGAACTCAACGAGATATATGATATTATTGAGAAGTTATAGATCTTTTCTTATTTTTCCTTTATCTATCACTAATGTGAAATATAGGAAGAAAGAAGAATTCAAATCTAGCTTCTTTGGTGTAGATTTACATTATATATGATTTTGATATTTTGTTTCAAATCTACGATGTTTGATTTCAATACTAACATTAATTTTTTATATAATAATTTTATTTCTTATAATAATTACTCCCACAATTAGCTATATGCAAGTTAAGAACAGTTGGTTTATCAGAGAACAGCCATGGGAGCTTTTGCAACAATTGAACTCCGGGAATTGCTTTTTCTTGTTTTTGTAAATAATATTTAATCTTTTATATAAGAAAAAATTCTAATAAATTGATCATTTCATCCAACTCGAACAAATAATTCACTACGGAGGTTAGATTACAGCATTTCTTAGGTAAAAATTAATAATCCTTCTTGGCTCTTGCACTCATAAAATCTCTACCTTCATTAATTCTCCACGTCGTATTGTGATTCCACTTATATAAAATCGTTACTTTGTTTTGATTTAATTTTATGTGCTAAAATATGCTTTACATCAGTTGCTAGTCGTCTAATCAAACTTTTCCCTCTTCTTTTTTCTTTTGATGTAGGAAAAACCATCTTAGAACTTGAATCTGCCACCACCTTAATCTTCTCTACAGATTACCAGTGTCTACAGACCTAATCTTGAATTAATTCTCCCTCCTTCCTTCAGCTGCTTCTCCTTGAAAATATAATTCAGGCACAAGAACTGATATTTTCGTTGTTCAAGAATTGATCCAGGATTGTTCCAAATCAATTTCTCTTGAATAAAGAAGGCACAACAAACAACACAGATAGAAAGCAACCAAGCGGAAGAATATGCCTTGTTATAGATGAAAGAATAAAGGTCAATCTGTACCACAACTGATGTCAATCCCAGCAACTGTAACCCACAGAACAGTTCAGCCAATTTGGTCAACTGTATTCCCAAAAAGTATGGCCTACCTCAGAGTTTAGACAGCAACATGACCTAACATCTTTTCTCTTATTTATTTGGAGAACTTAACATACTTCACCAAAGCACATAAAAAGCTCCAACAATATCGTCAGCTACTGAAGGAACTTTATCCCATCCATCACCATTATCTGACATCCCAAGACTAATCTAGACTCTACTGTTCTGTACACAAAAGAGCTGCATCGAACTCAGCTTGACAGAGAGCTATCTTCATCTTCAGCAATGTTGAACAAGAACTGAGGCAGCGAGGCAATGCGAGGGAGTTGCATCAGCAGATCACTGAATGAATCCTTCCTTGACATGCTTGCCACTGCCTTGGGACCAGGTACATCGTTGATCTCACCTTTGGTAATTGATGTGTGCTTCTCCGAAATATTATTGCAGAAACCATTTTCGTTAGCTGCAGGTCCGCCGCCATCTGTCTGTTGGCTGTCGACTGTGCCAACATCTTTCTGGAGCAGACAGCAAAATGAATTCACCTTTGACATGACAGATTTCTCATCTGAGGTGGACATTTGGGAATCGCTGAAGAGGCATTGGGCCAACTCCTCCAACATTTCTTTGTCAGGTATAACCGAGCCAGATAATTGCGGATTCCCCAAACTGATCTGCTCGGAGATGCGATGTCCTATTTGATTAACAAAATCACTGATGGACATTGAATGCTTGAGTCCAGGAACTTTCAACTGGTCCCAGCACCACTGATTATTCGAGTCTTCAGTTTCAGCAGTTCCACTTCCTTGCGTCACCCAAGGTCCCATCACTGTACACAATGCCAAGGATCAAAAAACAATGTGAAATTGCAAACAGTAAATATGTTACTGCAGGTCAATGGATTAATAAATTAGCATCCAATCTGAAGTAATGTGGAACTAAGAACTCTTACAAATTGATGAGCTAATGGAATCCGTCAAAATATTACCTTTGTTCCAAAAAGGCATGCATGCATGACCTCATGGAACTCTTACAAAATACCAAAGATCCACATATCTACTATATCAAGCAGTTTTGAGCAGCCAAAATGATGTGGAACAAAGAAGTAGTCATTTTGGTATTGATACAGAAGATCAGCATAGAGATGCATGAATTTAGTAATATAAAAACAAGAGGCCAAGCATGTAAAGAATGGATGAAACATAACATGTCCTTTAGATAGTTTAATGCTGAAGTTCACAGGAATAATAAGATGGGAAGAAATTGTACAGAAAAAATGCTAGTCATAGTTGGTCCAGCCTTCTATGTAATGAAAAGCAAAAATTTATTTTCCTGAACCATAAAACTTAAATACACCATCATAAGAAAGGGCTTCAAAACTACCTGGGCTTGGTGAGTGGATTTTACCAGTATCAATAGGATCTCTGATGTCATTCTTAGCAGAAGTTGATGTGCTAGCACAAGTCAATGCAGAATCTTCATACTCTTGAACCACAGATCCATATGGATCATTCAGCTTGTCAAATGGATGGCACTTGGATTCATCATGATCCTCAAAAACAGAGCACCTTGGTTCAGAGAATGGTGCATCCAGGAAAACATCTGGTTCATGACTTAGTGCACATAACCGTGGATCACACTGGATAAGCTTCTCAAAATGCTTGCTCAACAAACCTTGTGGACAACGTAGAAGATGCCTCCTGAAAGCAAGTATATCAAATTGTAGGCATTAAAAATAATCAGTCCCAGAAAAATCTTGAATTGCATTCTCTTATTACTTCACATTTACCAAATAAATAGCACATACACAAAGAGACATATAACTAATGTATGTTATGAATCAATCAACAGCTCAACATATAGCCTATAGATCTTATTTTTTTTTATCAACTGCGAAAAGCACATTTAGAAAGCAGAAAAACAAGTAAATATTCGAGAAAAATGTCAGCTAACAATTCTAAAACATGATATAGAATAGCCAAATGAGAACAAATGCTAAATCCAACTAAGTATCTCATAGATAAGTTTCCAAGTTCTCAATATTTTTTTTGTAACTCAAACTAGATTAGCTAAGACCATCTCCATGCCAAGATATGATCATGATGCTCATGTATCTCAATGTTTCCAAAGGACACTCGGGTGAGATGAGGCGTTTCAATGAAGCACCACTTGGGCGCAAGCTTGAGCCCAAGTGTTGGGCGACTCAAGCATGCGCCCGAGCCAAATTGGTCGTGGCTCAACCTGGGTTCGAGCCTGGGCAACTAAGTTAGTTCAACCAAACCAACTAATACCACTTACTCGATCCCCAATGCAAGCAACCAACGAAACCCTACCACTTCATCTGCGGCCATCTGCAGCCTTGTTTCGTCGCCAGTTATCTACCAGTGTATACCCATGCTGATTTATTTGATAGTTTATCTTCAGCTTCAAGGTTTCTCACATTGACAATTACAACTGAACTTAGAGGGTGATGCAAATTCATTATTTTGTTGAGTTATTTTCTCTTTTTTTTTTGTTATTTGATCCTTTTTATATTTCAGGTTTTTCATATGTGTCAATTTTATTTTTGGGATCATATTTATCAATAATAATATATATTTTTAAATTTTAATATTCGGGAGCATTTGCTTGGATTGTGTTTTGGGAGCTTGGTACTTTTTGGTGCCTAGCACTTTTAAGAATACTGTTGTATGTATAGGAAAAGTCCATCATATCTACCACATGGAACCATGCAGTGAAAGTCAGCATATTAAAAAATGTAACTATGCATAGTTCATTGCGACCAATATAAAATAAGAACAAAAATTCTAAGACAAATTAAACCAACTAGATGCATTTTCATAAAATTGAATATCGATAGCTCACTATAAGTTGAAAGGACCATACCGTAAGAACATGAGAAATAAAAAATTGGTCAGCAACAAATATATCATTCCGAGGAAGGTAAATAATATCTCCATTTGTGGCAATTTTGTTTCTTGTAAGAAAAGGTAACATGAATTTCCTAAACTGTTGATTCTTAAATGCAGATACAATCAAGGTACAGAAGTCTCAGTGGTTGTAATATCAATATCCTCCTTAAGGTATCAATAATTCAACCCAAGAATATCCTGTTTACCTGTGAATGCTTGCTTGCCCATCAGTGAAATCTGAAGTAGCTTGCCATAAGGTGTGCTTCCTAGGCTGTGGATTGGTCTCCCTAAAGAAAAGAGGCTGCCCACCCAGCTGCACAAAAGAAATAAATGTTCATGGAATTTTGACAAACTCTGTGCAATGTACTGTCAAATTACCACTATACCACTATATCCAAAGTCCCAGGAGCATCTTCTGGGCAAGTTGCCTTGAGAGCTGTGATATCTGACCACTGGATCTCAATCTTGCTCTTGAGACCACCTTCAAGAATTTCCCAGACAAGTTTCCGCTTTGCAAAATAGCATTTGGCCACCAAATCCCCTTCATACCTTGATACATACTGTTGAAAAAGGAAATAGGATAACATTCCTAAATTCGACCAACTTGATATGTAAACCACAGATTCAAGGGCTATGGATGTTATTATATCCAACCGAACTGGAACACAGCACTAGTATATGCTTCCGATTATGCTACTACACAAAATTACAGCACACATGTTGATATATGGCATGGCAATGCACAACATCTTGTCTTCATGGGATGGTCTGCTGTGTCTGTGGCTCCCCCAACAGAGACACAACACAACTCAGCCTTTGATATTAACAACTCAAGACAAGAGAAAGCATATGAATTCTTAATGACTCATCTGTTTTGCACTATGAACATTTGCATCAGTAATCATCTGCAATGTTATATTCTCAAAATCCAAACTAATTGCATAGTACTGAAAGAAATAATGGCCAAACACTTGTGGTGAGTAAAGCAGGCTAATAGCAACTACAGAAAAACAAGAGGAATAAATCACAAAGGAAAACATCTACATAATCGGGTCTACTAGTTCAACAGAACATTCGAAAGCAATCAAAGTATTGGTAAGTCAGCATAACTTAATCATACTTCTGTGACATAGTACTTCATATGGACATAAGAACAAACTGGAACGTACTAATCAAAGATATTCACTCCATTAAGGATAAAAGAAAATAACGAGATTTCATCAAACATAATGGAGATTACCTCCCACGTCCCAATCCTCAAAAGGGAAGCTGGAAAGTTTGATGCTTTCAACTTTTCGGTGTTAGCCAAAGCAATGGTAGACCTAGTATCATTCTTTTTCTCATTCTCCAAGTTCTCATCATTCAAAATGCATGAATTGGCAGCTGCATTTGCTTGAGACAACCTCATTTGAATCAAATCTACCAGTGATGGACTCTTTCGCAGACGAAGACCCAATGGGCTAGGCTCATTAAGCAGATTATTTTGAATAACTTCTGTTAGAGGCATGCTTTCACCTGTTCCACACTGCTATCACACACAAATTTAGTAAGTAAATCTGCAAAACTATATAACAATTTTGTTTCCATAACCAGATTGTAAAGTACAATAAATTGCCCTAAATACATTGCTCGTGTCAAAAATCACATCAGCGAAAGGAAGAGATTTTGTGAAACAATTAAAGGAACTCACCCAATTATGCTCCAAAATAAAGTTTGATTCTCAAAGATTAACATTCTCTTCCGTGAAAACAAGCATCGGCCTATGAAATTTAAATCTTTAGAAAGACGGAAACACAATTCAATGTCACATATCTATCATAAGTTATACGGATTTTTATATTTTCAGTGATCCCAAAAATATATCTTTCAAAAATATAGATCCGCCAGCTGATATTTGCCAATACGAAAATTTACCATGAAGAAAATCCTCGATGAAGAAAATTTGCCAATACGAAAATTTACCATCAGAACCCTCAAACCCAACCAGATCAAGTTATTTTTTGAGGGCCCTCACAAAGATCGTCTTTTTAATTGAAAAAGAGAAAGAAGAGAAGAAAGCGAAGAGATATCCCCTGCTGGAGAGAAGGAAGAGAAGCGACCTTGGATCTCTTGTTGAGCGGACCATGCTCGTCCTCCAACGGGTCCTCAATCTCCAGCTTCGTCGCTAGCGGCAGCGACATCTTCATCGGCAGCTCGGATTCCGGCCGCAGCTTGCCGTGATTCGTCAACTGAACCATCAAAAAGCCCACACCACAAGAAGAACAACGCACAAAAAAGCCGGTAGGATCACCGAACCCCGCGGAAACCCTAACTAAAACGCGGATCCACGCGGTCTCCCCCTGCAACCCAAGACGAATCAAAGCTCTAATCGCCCACTACGGATCACGAAATGGAGTTGAGATTTGGAATGGTGGGAATCGACGAATGCGCTTCTCCACCTTCCGGATTTGGGGATTACAAACAGATAATTTAATGAAGCGGTGGCCTCGTTTTTGGCGAGCAGCCGTACACGTGCCTCCTGGTAGCTGCGCACGTGGGGTTTAGATTTTTTCCCCCAAAAATTACATCTTTACCCTCCCCGAGCCACGACAAAAAATATCAACCTTCAAAAATAAGAGTTCTGAATAATAACGATAATAATAATAATAATATAATTATGACCGACGTGGGCTATGATCGAGGAAAAAGTCGTGACTCAGTTCCGGTCAAAATAGGCTTAGGAAAACGTGTGTTTTGTTGGTCAACCATACCAAACGTTGGAGTTGGTCAACGTGATTCTAATTGAATTTGCAATTAACAGGTATCAAATAACATGGATATCAATCTTTCCTGCACTAATTTATGGGATTAACACTGTGCCGTGTGATTACCTTCAATTAATTAGCATCATCGAGTTGGGTAATACACCCAGTAATTAGGATTTGTGTCCATAAAAATAAAACTAATTTGGTCAATAATAAAAAATAATAACACATTGAAACGTCTACTATAATTGTTATATATAAGGTTGATAATAAAAATGGAACCAATGGAAGAAATGGAGAAGGGCAATTTCGTCTTTTCGTACTAGCGAGAAAAGGTACGGGCCGCCGGATCGCGTACCTTCTCCATGGGGCCCGCGGCGGGACGGCATGTGGATGGTGGGGCCAACGGCGGCGTGCCGCCGAGTTGGATTCCCAGAGGATTAAGATGGGATGAAAGGCGACGATGAATCACGAAAGCACTCGACAACCGTCGCGAACAAAGCGACGAGGATTTAAGAGTCGATTTAATGGCAAGTATTGTTCATGAAAGATTCCTTCTCGTGTCCCGTTTCATCGCATGCAATCCCTTTCCCTGTGAAATGACATGAAGAATTGTTTTCTATTTCATCCCGTTGTTATTATGGTCACCATCATCGCCATCCCATCAATGAATGCTACACTTATCAGGATCGTACATTATTGTATGCTCTCAGCAGAAGCATCGGCCACTTGTCCTGTCGACGTGTGCTGTGCAAGCAAGACAAAAGTGTTTATGTCATCCTCCTATGTTAAATATTCATTCTAAATTGATAAATATATTGATATCGCGTTTGCGGATGGAGAGGATAAACCCTAATCTTAGATCATTCGTAGTCAACATAAAATGCATGAAGAGACACTCAAGCTAAGAGCATAAAAAAGTTTTTAAGAATATATTGAAAATAAATCATATATCCATCTATATCCGTCGCTACAGGTTGATATCGATCAAAATTTAATAGCGTCGATTTTAAACACAATGATCATTTAAATCCTTCTCCCTCTCCTCACTCTCATTTTCACTTATTTTCACACACTAAAAGTTCCTAATTCATGATTAATAATAATAATCAATTTATTAATTTGAATAAAAAAGGGTTAGAAATTTTACTTAGAGTTAATTAGTTTAACTCTAATTAGAGATAATTAGGCATAATTTAGGTCAAGTTAGGATTTAGAATCATTTGATCATATTATTGTACTAATGTACTAACATATGATAAATTGGATCGATACCATTGGTCGGCACGAGATAGCGGTCCTTAAATAAGCTTATGTAAAAAAGAAGTTATCTTTATGATTCCTGTGTGTGTTTTTAGGATTAAGGTAATTTAAGGGCTTACGAGAGGGAGTGATTAATCCAAGGAAATATTTTGTTTTGTTGGTTTATTCTCAAGAAATTTAAGTTTTTCTTTTGCGAATATAAGCAAAAAAATATCGAATTACATTAATTATATTTACATTATCGTGACATGATTACATGCCATTGAGATGCAAAAGCCAGCATGAAGGTGAGGTTGCCTGATAACCTCAAGCGATTCTACTGCTTTGATGAAGAGGAAGAAGAAGAAGAAGAAGAAGAAGAAGAAGAAGAAGAAGATAAAAGGACCGAAGCTTTTCGCCTACCTCTCCACGCCCACCAGGCTACCACAAATCACGGGAGCTGATAACCCACGCACGGCCAACATCCGATTCCACGGTTTCGGCCGCCCGTGAGCCCCCAGCGATTCCCCACCATGCGCTAATGCATCCAAGTAGCCAACCCGTCCTCCTCTGTTCTCATGCCGAGCCCCGCAAACGCCCAAGAATCCCCCCCCACCAACCTGTCTACTTCCTTCCTCCTCCTGCCCTCACTTCGTCACCCATCATCCTTCCGGCTGGCCTCTGCAATGGTGGGACTACCATGCCATGTTCCGGCCTCCAAGCTCTCGCTTTTGCTGCACCACGTTCTTCTTCTCCCTGTCATCGTCGTCGCCGCCGCTGCTGCTGCTGTCGATGGTGTCTGTTGCTCCCATCAGAATCTGTTGTCCGTGCATGAGCTGCAGTGGGGAGACAAGTTGCTCCCTCGGTCTACTTCCAGTGGAAGAACAAGTGAGCCTCTTTGCAGTTCTACTTTGTGATGGTTGCAGTCATCCGTCGATCGAGTTTTCTTGCATGAAATCTTCTTCCTTGCAGGGAGTCATACCGGTACTGCAATGCTGGAAATGAGGCAGCAACATCAGGTTTCGAGGCATATCAGCAATCACGATGACTACGTCTCGAAGCTCCTAATCGCCGACGAAGCTCGAGTCTCATCACTTCAGTCCAGAATCTCCAACAAGCTCCCACAAGATTCATCGGGAGCGCAGGTGCCTCTTGTCTCGGGAATCAAGCTCCAGACTCTGAACTACGTAGTGACCATCGGCGTCGGCGGCAAGAACATGACGGTCATCGTCGACACCGGCAGCGACCTCACCTGGGTCCAATGCAAGCCCTGCTTCTACTGCTACAGCCAACAAGACCCCCTGTTCGAACCCTCCGCCTCGCCCTCCTACCAGTACGTCCCCTGCAACTCCACCGCCTGCTACTCCCTCCAGGCGGCTACCGGGAGCGCGGGCGTCTGCGGCGCGGACCAGTCGACCTGCAGCTACGCCATCGGCTACGGCGACGGCTCCTACTCCCGCGGCTTGCTGGGACGAGAGAGGATCGACGTCGGCGGAGCTAGCATCGAGGGGTTTACCTTCGGCTGCGGCCTGAGGAACCACGGGCTCTTCGGCGGGACCGCCGGTCTCATGGGGCTCGGGAGGACCCAACTCTCGCTGGTGTCGCAGACCACCGCTCGCTTCGGCGGAGTCTTCTCCTACTGCCTCCCCACGAGGATGCTCAGCTCATCGGGCTCCTTGGTCCTCGGCGACGATCCTGCCGCGTACAAGAACTCCACTCCAATCTCCTACACCAGAATGCTATCAGACCCGCTGCAAGCACCCTTCTACTTCCTCAACCTCACCGACATGAGCGTCGGCGGCGTGGCCCTCGAGGCCGCCGGCTTCTCCAACGGCAGAATTCTCATCGACTCGGGCACGGTGATCACGCGGCTGGTGCCGTCGGTCTACCAGGCGCTGAAGGCGGAGTTCGTGAAGCAGTTCTCGGGCTACCCTCCGGCGCCGAGCTTCTCCATCCTGGACACCTGCTTCGACCTGTCGGCCTTCGAGGAGGTGAGGGTTCCGAGGCTGAGGCTGGGGTTCGAGGGCGGCGCGGAGATGACCGTGGACGTTACCGGCATCTTCTACTTCGTGAAGCGGGATGCTTCCCAGGTTTGTCTGGCGATGGCCAGCCTTCAGTACGAGGACCAAACCGGCATCATCGGGAACTATCAGCAGAAGAACCAGAGGGTGGTGTACGACACCGTAGCCTCCAGAATAGGGTTTGCTGAGGAGTCTTGCGGTTGATGGAGCAGAGTCCCATCAGCTGTAGGTTGGAGATGAAGAAGCCATGCATGCAGCTGCAAGTGACATAAAATAAGGCTCTGTTGTGTTCTTGAAATTGTTGCTGATAAAAGCAGCATTATTTCCAATTTATGAATGCCAATCAAGACCTAATCAAATGTATCTTATACTATTATGGCAGCTGACTTAGCTGCATGATGGCATCAAGAAGAACAGGAACAATGACTGCTGCAGCTACTCAAGTCCCATCAAGAATTGATTGCATCCTAGAGTTGACCAATCCCTGATGACAGTGAATGAAAGGGATTTGAGATGTCTTGATCTAGAGATTGATTAATCCACCATCTCATAGTTTTCTTATTATTCTTGATTATTTTTTAAATATATAAAATATAGGGTTCATATCAGAGCCAATCAAACTGGTCAACTCATGAGATGGGATTAATCCATGCCAAAATAAAGGGATATCAAATCCCTTTCATGTGGCAAGACTAGTTATATTATTAGGGATTGGTCAACTATCATGTCAAAAAGATATTGAATCCCTCAAATAGTATGTCTAAACAACTGTAGGGGAAAATTAATTATTTTAAACTTAAAAAAAATGACTGCATTTTTTGCAAAGCCATTTGGTTGGATAAACTTAACCATATCCTATAAATAAAATACAAAACATTTTTGATGATTAAGAAATAGATAATTTCTAGGAAGGGGATAAACATGATCCAATTCAGGAAAAATAACACTATTTCTTGCCATAGTCTGTTCATGTTAAACATGTCCAGTTTGATTAGTTTAATATTGGATTCCCAATGGTTCTGTTCAACCTTTTTTGGGAGACCTCAAATCATTTTAAATGACCTTGATGGTTGACAGCCATGCTAAGGTGCAGAGCAGATTGCTTGTCACCATAGGAGATGATAATTTGATGATGCTTTCATGTCACAAACATGTTTGACTTCATAACTTGATCTCATTGAGATATAGAAAAAAAACTTGATAAAAATTAGACAAAGTTTCAAGAATAAAGTTGTCAATACAGTTTCAAACAAGGGATGAAAGCCACATGTAGATTGACAAGTTAATGTATATATACACTGCCTTAATCTGAGCTAATTTTTATTTTTATTTTCCTAACCTAATAAAATAATTATGTAGAATGTGAAATCTTTGGTGGTTTTGATGGGTTATCTGTTCTCTCATGTCCTCATTGTTTATGATTTGATTGACTGCCAATCCAAGTATCTG